TCCCTGCCATTCCCAAGCAACGGCACTGGAAAGGAACAAGAAATCTTCACGTATCAGTCGCTGCTGGCGTATACGGTTCTCCTGAGAAACCTGTCACCACAAGAACAGCAGAGCATCAGAACATACAGGAGCTATGGAAACTCCGCGGAGCTCGCATGGCACCATCTCAAGTGCCTCTATCAAGCAAACGACAGCGTGACACAAAGCAGACTCATGCAACAACTGACAACAATACAAATGAAGACCGGGGAAAAGGCGATGCAGTATATGAGTCGCTGCCAGACCCTCCGCGACCGCCTGCTTCGGTGCGGAGGAACAATCACTGAAGAAAGCTTCGTGACACTTGTCCTCGCCGGACTCGGGCCAGAATGGAGAACCACACGATCGCTTCTTCGCGCCCACGGAAGGATTTCGGAGATGCACCTCTGCGCCGAGCTTCACGCTGAACAACAAGAGATGGACCTGTTCGAAGAAAGACAACCAAGGAAGCAGCAGCAGTTAGTCTTCTACACTCAACGAAGAAACGACAACACCTACAATCGACGGGGCAAGCAAGAACGCGACAACAGGGGATTTACCTTCGTGCCGCCGTTCTGCCACAACTGCCAGACTTCCGGGCACTCCAAGGTCAACTGCAACCGCCCTCGCGTTTACCGTCCAGCAGACCCACAAGTCGCTTCCACTCAAGCAAGTCCCCCAAGACGCTCTTCAACATCTGCACAACAGACACCAAATATTATCAATTGCATGGTACACATCGACAACTGCGCACCCGGATCACCACCCACTTACGCGCTAGACGAAGAAGAGCTCCCGCCACCGCGCTCACAAGGCCTTCAAGTCAATCCAACATATGCTGCGGTCGCCAACGCCGAACCCACCGGGCGAAACACCTGGTTCTTGGACAGCTGCTGCGGGCAACACATGTGCTCTTCGGGATGATTCGTGCAACAGGAGAAACGCCTCAACCGTGACGTCGTCATCACCGTCGCCAACAACGAAAATCTGAAGACAAACAGACAAGGCGTGGTTCAGTTACAATCCATGGAGACAAACGTCATACTTCAGCTCAACAAAGTCCTCATTGTCGACAACCTGGGATACAACCTACTAAGCGTAAGCCAACTAATGGCCAAGGGGATTCACCTGGAGTGCGACTCCTACTCCAACGAGTTTCGGCTATACCACGGGAAGGGTGGCCTCTTCATCGGTCGTGCCCTCCTGAAATCCGGCGTCTTCGTGTTGGACTTCGTCCCCGACCGCGGTACTGCCGACAGCGACGGCATCGTATCATTCGCCGCCTGGACACACCCGCCGGATCTTGATCCAGAATTCGACAGTGACGGCTTCTGGCACTCCAACACCATACCTGCAGCAGAAAGAACACGAGCATTAGCAGTCATCAGACAAGAAAGACAAGTACCCGCGAGTATCCCAACCAAACCATCACCTGCAGTAACAGCAGCAGGACTCAGCCGAGTCCCACCACCGGCGATCCGAGGACCGCCAACCGAAGCAGACCAACTTATGCCCATCACACGAGAAGTTTGTCGAAGTCCCGCCACAGTCGTCGCGTTCTTCTCCAACGCCGACATATACCACCGCTCGCCGGGTCATCGCGCTCCCGACGACATCTGGCACCAACGCCTCGGGCATCCTGCAAACAGCACGATACTACAAACAATCCAAGCAGAGGTGTTAGAACGCAACGCCCTCCTAACAACGAGCGGCCAAGAACTTCGACGACCACGAGCACGGTGCTTCACGTGCCCCGAAGCAGATCTTCCCCATCAGCCTTTTCCATCTCATCACAACCCAAGCGCACCTACATACGCTCCGATGGAAAAAGTCTACAGCAATATTTTAAACATGCCTCGAGAAGACACCGAAGCCGACTTCAACTACGTCATCACGTTCATCGACGCAGCAACCAGATACGTCTGGCACTTCAATCTCAAGACGCGCGATCAAGCTTTCGACGCCTTCACAACATGGCTTCCCATCGCCGAACGAGAATCAGGAACCAAACTCAAGAGCTTCCAGTTAGACGGTGCACTGGAATACCAGTCACAACGCTTCAGGACCTATCTGGCGGAAAGAGGAATCAGACGGCTGGTGTCTCTGCCCTATGCTCACCAGCAGCAGGGGGTCGCAGAACGCATGAACCGGACCTTGCAGACGACGATGCGAAAACTGCTTCTGGGGATGAAGCTGCCCACCACACTGTGGCCAGACGCGATGACACATGCAGTTCACCTGCACAACCTGCTGTCCTCGTCATCGCTTCCCAACAACGCATCACCGCACCTGTTGTGGACAAGAAAAAGGGGCAGCACAAAATTACTCCGAGTTTTCGGCTGCATGGTACAGTACAGACCCCACACAGCCCGAGCAGGACGCTTCACACAACGAGCTCGGTGGGGACTACACCTCGGCATCGCCAAACACTTTCACGCGTGGAAAATTCTCGACATACAGGACAAAAATACCGTGGCATCACATGATGTTATCTTCTACGAGCGACTGACGCTGCAGCATTACCTGGACAACATTGCCAACACACAAGACCCCACCGACGGCTTCTCCGGACTTCGTTCCTTCGCCGACCGTGCTGCCGAAGCTGACGCGGCAGAAGAAGACGTACCTGAAGCCTCAGAAACTGCCGGACCACTCCCATTCTGTTCCGTACCTGTTCCACTCGACGAAGACAATCCTCTCGATAGCAACAACCTCGACACCTTTTACCACTTCGCTGCCCAAGGTTACATTACACCCCACCCAGTCGACACAAATGTTTCAGAACGCATCGGTCCCAACTTCTTACCTGACCCAGAAGACGGTGACGAAGCAGCTTATTCCGGGAATGAAAATTCCCCTCGACACACACCAACGGGACTGCAGATTCTAGGCCTCTGGGTCTCCGTCCAGCATCCGCCGCCGCCTTCTCCGCGAGAGCCTTCGACCCTGTTGCAGGCTCTGGGGGGGGAATATAAGGCGAAATGGAAGGAAGCGATGGAAAAGGAGGTAAAGGCTCTGCAAGACCGGAAAACATGGAAACTGGTACCTGCAACGAGCATCAACGGGAAAAACGTCCTCTCGGGGAAATGGGTGTACCGCATTAAGACCAACTCAGACGGCTCCATCGAACGATTCAAAGCTCGATGGGTCGTACGAGGCTTCGATCAACGATACGGGACCGACTACACAGAAAACTTCGCTCCAGTCTCCCGTCACACCTCATTACGCATCCTACTCGCCGTCGCGGCCACGAAGACATTACCACTACGCCAAATTGACGTCGCGAATGCGTTCCTATACGCACCTGTGGACGCCGAGATCTTCGTCGAACAACCCCACGGATTCATCGACGACCCCACGAAAGTATGCCAACTGACAAAATCCCTATACGGGATCAAGCAAGCCCCGCGGCTCTGGCAGCAGCATCTCCACGACCGTCTCGCAAAAATCGGATTCCTACAGCTGCCGCATGACCAAGGAATGTACCGACTGCAGAAGGGAAGAGAGTATATCCTACTCATCGTCTACGTCGACGACCTGCTCTACATCGGCTCCACTACCGACATCGCCACCTGGTTCGAACGGGAGCTGAAAGAAGACTTAACACTCACGGTGTCCGACGAAGTGACCCAATACCTAGGACTGAATGTCGACGAAAACGACACGGCGTTCTACCTACACGCTGGAAAGTACTCAGGCACCGTCGCGAAGAAATTCGGTCTAACACCGACTACTGTCCCAACTCCCTACCACTACGGGAACAATAACAGCACCTCCGCAAAACTCCCCGCGAAACAAATCCAGGAGTATCAGCAGAAGCTCGGCTGCCTACTATTCGCAGCAGTAACCTGCCGACCCGACCTGTCCTATAGTGCGAGTCAACTGGCGACGCATCTGAAGCAACCGGAACAGGAAGATCTCGAGGAGCTCAACCGAGCACTACTCTACTTCGTCTCCACGCCGACGATCGGGCTTACCTACAGTAAAGCGACAACACCGTCCGTACGACTACTCGGATACGTCGACGCGGACCACGCGGGAGATAGGGAAAATCGACGATCTAGGACGGGCTACATCTACCGACTAGAACCCATCGGAACTATCTCCTGGCAGTCAAGCAAGCAGGAGTTAATCGCGCTATCCTCGGCTGAAGCAGAGTATATCGCCCTTTGTACTGCGACCAAGGAAGGACTCTACCTACGGGAGTTACTCGAGGAAGCGAAGATCGCGACCCTGCCCGCCTTCTCACTCCTCTGCGATAACCAATCTGCGATCAAAATCGCGAACAAGGACGGCTTCGCCAACCGAACTAAGCACATCGCCCTGCGGTACTTCTTCGTCAAGGATGAAATCGCTAAGGGGAGACTTCAACTCAGTTACTGCCCGACGACAGAAATGGCCGCAGATTATCTGACGAAGAAATTGGCGAAAGCAAAATTCGACTACTGCATGCTCCTGACCGGGCAAACAAACGTCACCGAATCTGAACACGCCAGCACTCCATAAACGAAGGGGAGTGTTGGAAACATCTCAAAAGACTTAAGCGTTTCTGAAGTATAACTCTGTACTCGAGGAAGATTACAGGGGAGCACGCGAGTCAACGGAGGTTGCACGAGGGGGCGGACAAAGAATGCGAAAAGACTCGAAAGGTCGCAACTGGAGGTTACGACTGACCGTTACAACATCACGGATGGTAACCGAAGCGGCAATCGAGTCGCTGTGCGACTCGATAAACCGTTCCTGTAACTGTATTCTACAACTGCTTTCTTATCTTCTATATATTGCTGCATGCTTGTTTCTTTAGTCAATCACTTGTTCTCATATACTAGTACAAGGGTTCAACTGCCTCAACTTCCGCTGCACTACTCAAGTCTCGTTTTTTACAACTGGGACTTAGTCTCTGGAAAGATCCTAAGGGCTTTTATCAGACCAACACACGTGGCGTGCCATTTCCCCTCTCCTCTTTGCCAACTGGTGTCCCGATAATATAAGAGAACTATTTGAACACTTGATATTTATGTACAAAACACAAGGGGTGCATGCCCTTTCTGCCCTTTATGTGGGCCATTGTCTCATATGGTAAGCTGCTATGGCTACTTGGCTTTCGAGTTCATGCGTGCCAGCAGCTTGGGCGGCTCATAATCAATATTGTTGAAAGGGATATGCATGTCTCGAGCATATGCTTGTGTCACCGTATCGAAGGTAACCTGCCCACATCAAAAAGATGGTCACAGTGGAACGGGAAGCGTGCCACACAAATGATTATCTAATCAGCAAAAGTTTTTGTGAGAACGGATGGATGTGTGAAGACAGAGCGCACCCTCCTACAGAATCAAGCACATCATCAGCTGAACATACTCCCTTCGCACACCATACCCCCCCCCCCCCCCCCCACCCACCTTCTCTTTCCCTACTTTCCCTCCCTCTCCCCTCACCTTGTCATACAGCCCGGCAATTCTCTTGTCAGCATCGGTGGCTTGCAGCGTGTGGCCGCTGTCAAACACGCCATAGGGCTCCGTGCCCAGGCGCTGCATGACCCACCGCACGTCGTCCATCATGCTCTCAAACCGCCCCACAAAGTCGTACTTGATGGCGTCCAGCGCACACAGGTCCACCTGACACCAGGGGGGCAGGGAGGAGACACCAATCACACGGAAGGCAGCTTCAATTCACGATTTGACTCGGGATAGAAACACGATTCCCTTGCTCTGGACTCAGCCAGAGCCCAGACTTGATTGCCCCCTCTCTCACCACCACCAGCCTCACTGCTTCATGTGGCTGCTCCTGTCCTGCCCATCTCCTCTGCATCTCCCTCCCGGCGCCACACCTGCGTGTCGATGTGGTTGTCTGTGGGCGGGTGCCGTGCCTCACCTTCAGGCTGCCCCTGCTCCCCCCTGGTGTGTGCCCTATGATACCTATCCTATCCATCTCCCCTGCAGCCCCCTCCCACCGCCCCACCCACCTGTGTGTCGATATGGTTGTCGGTGGGCGGGTGCTGCAGAGCGCCCTCGGTGAGCTGCACAAACTCGGGGAAGGAGAAATTGCCGTCGGGGTGCCGTGCCATCATGCTCTCGTACTGCGGCGCCCGCTTGAACAGCGCCTGGTGGAGGGAGGGGGGAGGGCGAGAGGGGGCCATTTTGAGGGGAGGAGAAGCGCATGTTAGGAGCTGACTTCGAGTCGGCTCAAAAGCCATCATGCTCGCGTACTGCAGTGACCGTTTGAACAGCGCCTGGTGCAGGCACAGGGGAGGCGAGGCAGGGCATTGTGGGGGGAGAAGTGAAAGTTGGGGTGGTAGAGTCGAGGGGAAGAAGGACAATGTGGCAAGGGGTAGGGAATGGACAGCATGATGGAGATATTGGCAACGGAATGTGGTTGAGAAAGACATGGGCATGGTGGGACATGGCACCACTCCCTCCCCCCCTCCCTCCCTCACTCCTTCCCTCCCTCTCTCCCCCCCCCACCCCCCACCCCCCTCCCCTCTCACGTTGGCCCAGTAGAGGCGAGCGCTGCCGTTGTTGAGGAAGTCGCGGGCCTTGACGACCTTGTCGAGGAACGCGGACGCCACGCGCGTGTACGGGTTGCGCACAAACGTGAAGCGCACCACATCGCGCCGCGTGAGGTACCGCACCGCCTCGCGCTCGCCCAGCTCTGCCAGCTCTGTGATGCCATTGCTGCCCGCCACGTGGATCGCCTTGAACTCGCGTGACCCAAGCTTCAACCCCGCGCCACTTCCGCCCTCTGCTGCCCCCCCATCTGCAGCACCAGCCCCCCCAGCAGCAGCAGCAGCAGCAGCAGCACTGGCATCTGCGGAGTCGGTGGAGGGGGGCTCGATGCCGAAGGCGGCGGTGGCGTTGCCCTTGACTCGGAAGAGGCGGAACCAGAGCTTCCAGCTCGTGTTGGCCACCTTGGGCAGCGCGCAGTACGCCACCTTCAGCTCCTCTGATGGCAGGGGAGGTGAGGGGGTCAGGATGGGAGGGAGATGGGTGGTGCGGGGGAGGCTTTGGTTTGAAGTGATGGGTGGTGCGGTGAGGGGTGTGCGAGGTTCACACAGGACTCCGAAAGCCCACGCAACAGCCAGCCAGAGACACACACCCAAAACCCTGGCATCCAGGGCCCCCTCCTTGCCCCCCCCCCCCCCCCCCCCCCCAACACACAACACACTGAACCATGCACCCTCAGCCATGCACGCACCATCAACAATCATGTGCTCGGCGAACTTCTGCTTGAGCAGGGCCGGCGGGCACGGAGCAGAGCACAGCGACGGCTGCATGAGGTGGAAGGAGCGGGTGCGCACAGCTGCACGTGCCATGATGAGGTTCAGCGCGGGCGACGGGAACGAGTACAGCAGACTCGGCGCCTCTGTCAGGAGTAGTAGCTCTGCCGCCTGCCGTTGGGGGGGTTGGGGAAGGGAAGGAGGGAAGGGGGTTATGGCGAGAGAGGTTGCGGGACCAAGGGAAGATGAAGCAGAGATGAAGTGAAAAGTGAGAGGAGGGGAAAGAGATTCAAGGATAGATGGGAGAAAGTTAGGGAAAAGGAGGATGATGATGAGGATGAGGCATGACAAACACACAAGCAACCCACGAGCACACGATCAGTGCAGCATCATCTGCCCATCTGCCCACCCACCAGGAACTGGGTGCAGCGAACAGCCTCTGCCAAGGTGAGCTCGTGGTCGCTCTTCCCCTTGCGCCTCACACTCCACTCCCCGCCCACCCGCGCCTCCCACCCGCCCGGCATGCCCTCGAACGGCGCGCAGTCGAGCGCGCGCACGAACGCGGCAAACGGCAGGTGCGGCGCACGCGAGGGGTGGAAGGAGTCCGCGGCGATAACGGCGTGCGCGGGCACGGTGGCGGCCGCCACTGTGAAGTCCATGGCGGGGTGCGACAGGAAGGACGCCGTCAGGCGCCGCACCGCACAGGCGGACATGGGCGCCTTGGACGGGCATGACGGCACCCGCATGCGGCTGTAGCGTGGATCCTGGGGTTGGGTGGGGGGGGGGAGGGGGAAGAGCGGGGGGACGAGGGAGGGTTGGGGGGGAGGGGAAAGCGGGGGTAAATGGGGAGAGGGAGTTGTGGTTGTTTTGTAGGAAGAAGGGGTACAGGGCTTGTGTGGTGAAGGAGGGAGGAGAAAGGCAAGGCAGGAGCAGGGCGGAGCAAAGGGGCCTTTTTCTGGTGTGAGCTGACTTGCAGTGAGTTGGCTTGCAGTGAGCTGGCTTGCAGTGAGCTGGCTTGCGGTGAGCTGGCTTGCAGTGAGCTGGCTTGCAGTGAGCTGGCTTGCAGTGTGCCTCAACCTGCAGCCTCCCCGAGCACCCTGCCTTCTCCCTGTCGGGTTCGCTAGCTTTACCACAGCCAGCTGAGCCCCAGCATGCACGCAACCCAGCCATCCCAATCATCTTCCACCCCTCTCATCTCACCCCAGTGACCCCCTCTCACCCCAGTGCCCCCCCCACCTCTACGAGCAGCCCCACAGAGGCTCTGGTGCGCTTGACGTTCTCTCGGGCCAGCAGGCGCTTCACGTGCGCGGTGGGCTGCAGCGCGCGGTAGCACCGCTCCATCTCCGATGCATGCTGGCACGCGCGCACGCCGTGCCGCTGGTGCCGCACGCATGGCCCGGGGGGGAGGGGGAGGAGAGGGAGGAGGGGAGGGGAGGGGAGAGAACACGATCAGGCGAGCAGGGGATGGGGGGAAGGGGAAGGAAGGGAAAGCGGGGATTAGAGGAGAAGAAAGGGAATGGGGCGAAGCAGGAAGCGGAGGTAAAGGGAGGGGCAGGAACGGAGGGGGTTGACAGCGGCATGAAATGGGAGCAAAGCAAAACAGTGAGAGCAACCCCGACCAACAAGCAGCACAACAACAAGCAGCTCCCGACCAACAATCTCCACAAAGCTATCCTAGCCTCCTAACCTCCACAGCATACCACACAGTGGCAAGGTCAGGGCACAGCCTGCCTGCATGCGTGCACTGCACTGACCAGCAGGGGCGTGGCGTGCTGCGACACGAGCAGCGCGAAGGACGGCGAGTGGAACGCCAGGGGGCGACGGCCCGCGTCCGCGCACTGCAGGCGCACCTGGTGGGTGGCGGACATGTAGTGGGGGCGCACACACACGGGGATGGGGGAATGGAGGAGGACGGAGAGTACTGCATGAGGCAATGTGGTTAGGACACGAGAGTGGTGAGCGGTTAGTGGTTACAGGCAAGTGGGGAAGGGGAGGAGGTGGGGAGAAGGTGCATCAAGCGCCTCAAGAAAGCAAACAGGATGGGGGAGTGGGGAGTGGCCGCTCTGCGCTTCCCGTTGGCTGCTACTAGTGGTCATTTGGGTAGGCACCCCCCTGTCCATATGCTAACAGGCATCGTTTCTGTCTTTTCCCCCTCCTCCCTCCCTTCCCTCCCCCCCTCCCCCCCTCCCCCCCACACTCCTCCCCCCCCCCCCCCCCTCTCTCCTCCTCCTTTCCGCCCCCCCTTCCCGCGTTCTCTTGCGCCACTCACCCTAATTAACTGAAACTCCTCCTTCTTCCCCGCTCGCTCCGCCACAACCTTCCCCCCCTGCGCGCCGGCCCATCCGGGGGGGAGGCGCGTGCGGAGGGGGAGGTTGGGCGGGAGGAAGAGGTCGCGCAGGTGCACGCCGGGGAGCAGGTGCGAGCTGCGCGTGTCCCACAGCACGCCCAGCGCCATGCGCTGCAGAGCCGCGTACGCTTGCGCCTGGCACAGCATGAGCAGACACGCGGGGAGCGTGTGCGCCTGGTGGGGGGGGGGGAGGAGTTGGACGGACCGGGGAGGGGGTGGGGTGGGGGGAGAGAAGGGGTTGTGTCATGCTGTTCTGTGTCATGCGGCGCTGCATGGTGGTGTGTGGAGCGCTCTGCCCAGTTTAACGTGGTCGTCTCGAATGCTTGTTCCGTGTCCCCCCCAATAGTAGTGTGCTTCTGTTCCGCAGCCCTTCGAGTCTCATACCTCGACATGCAGTTTGCTTGGTGGAACACCAATTTGGTGCAGTTGTGTCATTACGTGGCAGAAACTTATGATTCAACTCCTGAGAAATGTTCGTTTGACTGCTTATGTGAAAAAATTCGCAGCCCTTCGAGTCGAATCGAGTCGAATCAAATCGCATACCTTGATATGCACGATCATCTGCACGCCATCCCACGAGTCCTCCTCCCACAGCGTCAGATTCGCCGCCATGCGCGCCGCGTTCCCATCATCGCCATCCCCTCCCGCCACTATCATCCCCGCCTCCCCTCCACCCTCCCCCTCCTCGCTCTCCGCCTCCGCCTCCGCCTCTCCCGCTGCATCCGCTTCCTTCTGTAACGGCGGGTAATCAGACAACCGCTCCCCCCCCTGCGCCTCCCCACCAGCGGACTTGCTTCCCCCGATAGTGTCAACTTCCGCCTCCAATTCCCCCTGGCCTGTCGTGAGAACAACTGCTCCGAAAACCGCCACCGGCGGTCCTTCCGCCGCTAATCCCCGCGTAGCGGATGCGCGGAGCGCGCGGGTGATGAAGGATGACGTCATGGGGAGCGTGAGCACGATTCCCGTTACGACAGCGGATGTGATAATACTGAGTATGGACACGTATAGTAACAAATGCCGGTCGCCGATTATCCCGCTGTCGTGTCTGACAGGCGACTTGGATCTAGGCGAATGGGCATGATGGTACGACCCGTTGTGGTCACCGCTGCTCTTCATGATGACGCGTTACGCCACGCGAAGAAAAGACGCTCCTGCTCCGAGAGGAAGATAGCAGTTTGGTGAGCCCTCCGCGTCTCAAATCCGCAGCGAAGAAGGATGAAAGAGGTCGCGACGCGAGGTCCTCGGATAGTGTACAGACTGATGGCGCGAAGGTTTCCGATGGTGGCGCCGTGCGGAACCTACGCGGGAGTTCTTGAGCGACGTGTCCTTGGGTGGGGGGGAGTTCTTACTAAGATCACGTCAATGCATCCAGTAGTATCCGGCGAAAAATGGTTGTGCAGGAGAAAGTCACATTTGGTATTCAGTAAAATGTCACCCCCTAATACACCTGTTCCCCTCGATTGTCTCACCCGGAACAGATCAAATTTGAATCTTACCTACCAGGTTCTCTGCATGACTCGCGTTGACACTGAACCTGATTGGCTGTAGTCTGAACAAGAGCGATCAGTCGAGTCGTATCCCGACAATTGCGAGAGTCCGAGCTGGGAGGTCTCACTGGCAAATTATATGGTGCACAAGCGAGACTTTGAAACCAAGTGACATTTTCTGCTGTAGGTTTTCTCAACTAAATGTCCCTTTTGCCCGGGTTTGATTCGTTCCTGCTTAAAGGCTCAATCCGCGTGCTGAAAACGTTAGACCCGATAAGAGAAAACGTGTAACATGGAAATTGTGGCTGTTATTTGGGCTGCAGTGCATATTGTGGGGGAATGGCAATTTGGCCGGGGTGTGTGTGAGGGGTGTGCATCAGGAGGTGAGCGAGCGCTTGCTGGTGCAGCGGGGAGGGGAGGGCTTGTGGAGAGGGGGAAGCTGGCAACAGGTGGGCAATTGGCATGAAGCATGGGGCAGTGGCGCCAGCGCATGCAATGCCGTTTCGTTCCTTGGGATTCCCACCTGCCCGAATCGACGGTCAAGGATGTTTGACGTTCACATCGGTGGCTAAAAATGCTCCTTACGCGCCAGTGGAAGAAAGCCACCCAAACAAGGCTGTTGGTTGAAGATTCGCAGGGGCAGCCGACAGACCAATCAGAAGCGCGGAGGAGGACCTGATTGGGGTTCGGCTGGTGGCGGCAGAGAGTAATCCACCTGAACGGTGTGTCGACACTGTCGCGCCCACATTGCGGCGAACGTCAGGGGGTTGGTTGTTTGCAGGGATTCGGGAGGGGGGGCTGGTGAAACAGCGAAGCATTCTGTTGAGGCAGATTGCTCCATGAAATTGCAGTGCTGGTAGTAATCATACAAATAGCTGTACAGAATTGTGTACCTTAGTACATCAAGAAATATATCAAGTTCAACATCCAGACTCGGCTATTTCCGCAACCTTACCCCGCATGCCTTGCTAGCGTGCCTATCCCCTGCATATACAAGGTTTCCCCTCACATACGTGCCCATGACACGGCCTTGAAGTGTGCTGCCATTGTACGGGGTCACCGCATGGCGATGAAAAACTTCAACCTCCTCGCCCACAGTAAACGAGCCTTGTGGGTCCCACACAACAATATCCGCGTCCTTGCCAGGTGCAATGGAGCCCTGCATATGATATCCGGATCCAGGGGGCGAGAGCGGTCAAATGTGGAGGAAACCAGATGACTTGAATACGAGGAACAAAGACGTTAGAGAAAGATATTCAACAAAGGGATCAGGAGGACAGGAGTGCAACGACTGTGAATTGTCTTACTTTGGACTGCAATCCTGCTAGCTGTGCAGGGGCGTCGCTCCACATGCGCGCCAGTTGCATGAGGGAGATGTTGAATGCCTGGCCATGCGTCCATGTCACTGGCAGGCTCAGCTGGTGCAGGCACCATCACGCATGTTATGGAGGCAAGGGGAGGCAAGCACGGGATGCACACAAGATAGACACAGCAACGATGGACGGCCGCTGACAAGCATCCCATTCAAGTGTCCCCCATGCAGCTTATGGCAATGTGCATGGCATGTAACAGGAGAACCATGTAGAGATAAGCATCTAGTGCATGTGGGATGAGGCCAACAAATCAAAGCTCAAAAAGGAGATCTGCTAATCCCCTCACCCACCATCGCACCTGCAGGCCTGCAATGCCGCCCCATGCAGTGAGGAAGTTGCCTGTGTCGAGGTTCTTGAGGGACGGGTGGCTAGGCGAGTGGTCCGACGACAGCATGTCAATGGCTCCCTCCTGCACGGCACACACACACATCTTCACAGCCGTCAGTCAAAGCCACTTGCACTTATGAAGGAGAACGACAAGGGTAGAAACTCACAGAGTTTGAGAGGTACATCTGACTTAGCCTGAGACGTCCCCATGAGTGAACCCACCATGAGTGCCTGCCACAGCATGCGGCGGTTGGTGTCGCCGCGGATGGGAGGCGCGCACTTGAACCGCGTGTCCCCATGGGGGACGTCAGAGGACGCAAAGGCAAGGTAGTGCGGACATGTCTCCACTGTCACCGCTGCCCCTGCTGCCTTGGCCGCCTGGGTGTGTCGGTGTGTGGGTGTGTGAGAGAGCAAGTGGGGATGAAGGCTTGGAGAATGACGAAAGTTGCTAAGGGAGGCTAAAAACATGAGCACGGTGGGTCTGTGCACCCAACTGTGCATGCACAGTACATGCATGCAGTTACATATAGCTACAAGACAGACACCACGGAATCTACAAGTGAGTACACACAAGTGTGATTGAACGCACCTGGATGGTGGGCACAGAGTGCGCGTCAGCGAGGTGAACTATGTGCAGCCTTGCACCTTCCCACGGCTGCCCTGCTGCCGTCCTCTGCGCCACATGCAGCACCTGAGCAATGGCCTCCCGCTCCCTGGACATGTTGGGAAGCAGGAGGAGGGAGGAGGTCAGCAGGTGACAGATGTTGCTCAAGCGGATCAGAGCATGGAAAGTAGCAGCGCTAGGAGCACAGTGCGGGTGCACGGAGGCGCGCCTGATTGTGTGAACAAGAGAAATTTGGGGGTGGAGAGGAGGAGGGAGGGAGGGGGGGGGGCCGGGGAGGGAGGGAGAGAGCGGGGGTCGAGACGAGGGGGGAGAGAACGAGAGGTTGAGAAGTAGTTGAGGTTGGGCTCAAGGGCTGGTCAGTACATGCTGGGAGGCCGGGATGCCTCATAGGTTGCATACACCCGCGGGTCTCCATCCAACTTCACTGTTCCCTTCTCCGTCCTGCTGTTCCCTGGTGCGTCATCATAACTCCCCTCACTGTCCACCACAAGCCGAATACCCTTCCCCTCCTCTCCTACACCACTGCTGCCACTCTCACTGCTATCATCAGTGCCACTGTCAATACTGCTGCTGCTGCTGCTGCCAGTGGCGTCGTCGCTCAGGTGGGAGGCAGGTGCAGAGGAGTCAGGGGTGGGAGGGACTACTTCTGAGTGGATCAGCAGGGGCAGCTTGGCTTTAGCCAGGACGGGGAGAGCGCTCTGAGTGAAGGTCCAGGGTGATGGTGATGGTGATGGTTGTGAGGGGAAAGCAGAGGATAAGAACATGTCGTGAGCATGGGGTAAGTTTTGAGGGGAGTGAACCATGATGGAAGCCATGCTCGGAAGCAAGAGGAGTAAACGGAAGACGGACGTGGCAAGACGAATGGAAGCAATGTGAACATAGCATTGGGGTAGTGGACGAAGGATGGGGTGGGGGGAAGGAAGGGAAAGCAAGAGGAGAGAGCGAAATTCACCTCAAAGTGCGAGGCGTTGGTGTGTGGGAAGTCATCGATGCCTGATGGGCACATGAACGACTGTAGGTAGGCAGAAAGGGAAGGACAGGGATTGGGGGGGAAAGAAGGGGGGGGGGGAGTTGGGTGGTGGGAGTGGGGCTCAGAATACGAACGGAGGGGACACATGGGATTTTATAGATTATAATAGGTCATCCAAATAACACGAGAGCAGAATGGAGTCGCCAGGGGTTGCATGAGCGCCAGCTGTGGACCAAGATCCGTTTGCCCCTGAGAAACTCTCCTCTCACCGGTGCAGTGTGGAGCGTACCTTGACACCCATAACCTCGCATACCCCTCATGGGCTTCTCCCGCGCACCCCTTGAGGGCCTTTCTCCCCATGCATACAACCCCCCGTGCATACGAACCCTCTTGTGTACGACCCCTGCGTACAATCCTCCAAGCGTACAACCATGCACACAATCCTCAAGAGTACACCCGCTATGCGTACCCCTGCGTACAACCCCTGTGTGTACTCCCCATATGCGTACAACCCCTCATGCGCACATCCCCGGTGAAAAAAAGCCCTGTATGCACCCCCGCCAGACGTATACCACACATGTGCATAACCCCCCATGCGTACACCGCCCAAATATGGCTTGAACATAGCTCAGATGTGCATGGTTCAGATGTGGCTCAGACATGGCTCAGATGTGGCTCAGACATGGCTCAGATGTGGCTCAGACATGGCTCAGATGTGGCTCAGACATGGCTCAGATGTGGCTCAGACATGGCTCAGATGTGGCTCAGACATGGCTCAGATGTGGCTCAGACATGGCTCAGATGTGGCTCAGACATGGCTCAGATGTGGCTCAGACATGGCTCAGATGTGGCTCAGACATGGCTCAGATGTGGCTCAGACATGGCTCAGATGTGGCTCAGACATGGCTCAACGGAGTGTACCTTGAATCCCAGCACGCCAGCGTCAACCAGGCGCTGAAGTTGGTGAAAATCGTTGGCGTTTTCTGGCACCAGGCCCGCCCAGAAGCCTGCACCCACAGGACAAGAGCAGGAAGTAGCAGGCGTTAGAACGTGGTTATGGGTCAGCACCCGAGAGAGGCGATTACTAAAAAACGAGAATGATAACGAGCAAAAAATAGAGACGAGAATGACAAGCGAGGGTGGCAAGGGAGAATGATGATGCACAAGATAGGTCGAAGTTAGACTCTCACCAACGTCCACCATAATCTTAGATTCGGCAGCCTTATACTGAAGCACATGCAGGGGGGAAGGGGGGGAAGGGAGGGCCGGGGAGGGTTGGTGGAATGGGAAAGGTGGAGGAATGGTCACTCTCGAGGGGGAACAAATGCGGGTCAGGGACAACGGTGTCATGCACGCACATAGAGATGCAGGCAGTCTAGCATTGCATGCGCCACTCCAGTGCCAGATTCCAATAGGACGGGAATAAAAGCGAAACTTTAGGACGGAATGAAGGAAGTAGCTGCTGCTAGTTGTAGAGGAGGCAGGGGTCCTGCTAGTTGCTGTGTCACCTTCATTGCAAACGCTTCAATGGTGGTGGTGGTGGGGTAGGAGTTAAGGGGCATGTCCACCAGTGTTGTCACACCACCTGCAAGGAGACCAGCCCATCGCCACAGACATACCACGCAAAGGGATTAGCAGCAAGTTATTCACCAAACGTACACGTGGCCACTCAAGCTCATGCAGACGAGTCTATTTTTGAGGCGCCTAAAAAACAAACGTACACGTGGGCACTCAAGCTCATGCAGACGCAGTAGGCTGCTCGGTCCGTCACCACACGTTGGGAAAAGGCTAGATTACTAGGAACGCAGTGCTGCAAGTGTGACGGTTAAAGTGATATTGTGTTGGGCATTGCCAAGGCGGTTAACTGGGGTGCATACATAAGCCAGAAAGGAATCTCAACGTCTTTGCGAAGCGTTTGATCCCCGAGTCACATGCCTTAACGCTACACTCTCACACACCCCGTCCTCCCCTGGTGTTCCCGAACCTCTATCGCTCTTCCCTCCAAAGCCTATCTAACAACGCCTACCAACTCACCAGCGGCAGCGGCCCGTGTGCCTGTAACGAAGCCCTCCCATTCCTCCCGACCAGGCTCGTTCAGGTGAACGTGGCTGTAGAGAACGTCGCGTAGAAAGCCCAACCACAGAGGAAAGCGCCACCATGCAATACAGGTAGTATGGGAGGGTAGACACAAGGATTTCACATGAGAGAGGAGAGGAGGCCGGAGCTAGAACATTCGTTTGGCCACGAATGAGGCGAGGAGAAAGAATGAGCTAGAACATCGTGTGGGTAGAGGAGAGAAGGAAGGAACAATCAGGGATGTGAAATCTCCACAGGTTAGTGTTCCTACGTACACGTCGACTAGGCCTGGAGAAATTACAGCGTCGCCATAGTCTAGCACAGGTAAGCCGGATGGTCGAGATTCCACAGAGGTCCCTTCATGAACGGCTGTGATGACGCCATCACGGACAGTGACTGCGACCACAGGAGCAGACATAGGAGGGAACGAAAGAACTGGTGCATATACGGCGTCTGAATGTGGGCAGTGCGGCGTGGAAATGAAGTGGAAGAACGAGGAAGGAGCAGAGGTATCGGAGTCGCGCGGGGAAACATGAGACGGTGGGGTTCGTACTCGCAGCTGGTATGACTCCGTCGGGGGTGACGACACGCGAACTGACGAGGACGAATTCCGTGAAGTCGTGAAGGCTGCAGGAGAGTGCGGCCTGTGAAAAGCACGGAAGATTAGGATGGAAGGGGAAAAGAGGGGGAACCGCAACCGCATTGAACACGAAAGATTTGAAGAATGGGGTCCGACCCGAGGAATGTCGGAAGGTGAGGTGAGGATGAGCATTCACGGTGAAAGAATGGAGCTTGATAGGAGACTATATTCAATAACCAGGGGTAGCACCTGCTTGGCGTAATAAGGAGACAGGACAAATGAGTAGGCGACAGCAGCGAGAAGCACGATTAGAGCCCAGCCGCGATACAGTGGCCGAAGCAGGCCTGCGAACAGGCCCATGGTGAACAGGGCTATCTGTCTGAAACTGCTGCACCTATCGTCCAGACCGCGTAGATAGTGCAATACGTACAATGGTAAGCTTTCTGTGAGCTCTTTGGAACCTTTGCAAGCCGCTCAGATACAGTATGCAGGCGTTCAGTCACCCCGAGAAGGGTTGAGAGAGCGGTGGAGGTCCCAAGAAATGGTGAATCTGACTGCCTTGTTCCTGTTGGGTTCGTTGGACTTGTTCAGCAATTACCCCAGCCGCGAACAGCCCCATACTGAAAACTGATTGGCTGAGAAGAGACATAGGGCATGGTTGCCGCTTAGTCATTGGCAGCCCGAAGTTCAGCAAAGCGGGATACTTAGCGAGGTGAAGCTAAATGGCCATCACTGGTTCGCGAATCCCGGCTCTGTAAGGAATTACAATTCCTTAATGCGCTAAATTACAGCGCGTACAACCGAAGACCTCCACCTCGCAGGTTCGGCCTCAATTCGGCCCAAACCTCCCCGAGTCGCGAACCGATCCCCTCGCCACCCTTCCAAGCGACATCATGTCCCGAGGCTCTCGCCCTAGCACGTACGAGCCCTACTTTAGCTAGTTCGCTCGTCACTTGCTCATCAATTATTATTCCTTCCTAGGTTGTAATTCCATTACTGCGTGGATAGTTCCATTCCCACTCATAACACTTAGTATTCAGAGCCACTTTCCTCGTGTAGTAGCTTCCGCCTGCCCGAGACAATTTGGGGGGGGGGGGGGGGGGGGGGGGGGGAGGGATGGCTGGTGGGCTAAGGGGCTGCAGAGCGGTGGGCTCGGAGCTTATTTATTAGCTCGTCCGACTAAGGCGTGTGCGCTCCATTCGTCACCAGGCCCCTGCCTTTGGATGGCCAGGATTTGGTCGGGTCCTCCCTCCCCCCAGGAACAGACAGCTGTGGCTGTTACGGCATTACTTCGCCACGTGGGCTGGTGATTTATGCATTTAATTCGTTCGTTTTGTATGGCAACATGGCGTCGTCGTCACATGGCGTGTTATCTTCAAGCGCCTCGCCAGAAGACGTCGTCAGCGGTTGTGCGAAAAAGGCCAAGGCTCGCCCAATTCCGTGAGAAGATTTTGGAGTTCGCCAGGCGCACGTGTGATGCGTCAGAAGTGTACACGAGGAAAGCAAGGGGAGCGAGAGACGCGAAGAATTCGTCAGCACTCTGTTTCATATGGAAACCGACAACCTCGGAGGATTGGGCCTTGGTGTGTCGTCGCGCTCCGGTAACTTTGGCAAGGGGATAACGGCAGTGGGTCGGCGTAACCTTGATTTGACAAAAAATCTGGAAGCAGCAAACTTCGGCAACGACCAATTTTCGTACAACACCAAGATGGTGCTGGGACGTCACCGACACGTGTCAAACAGTTGGCAGCTGGAATGCAGTCAGGCTTTACGCATGTTCTATAACATGCCAACACTGTGCCTGCATGCTGGGCAAAAGTTTCTTGCTGAGGAAACCAACTCGAGAAACGACGACCAGAGGGTTGAGAATCGCCCTGATCCTACGAAGGTTTCAGAAGTCTGCTGAAGCGGCATATCAACGAAGCCTGCGGAAACGAGCCCTGCAGAAAGGCTCATCGACAAAAAGCAGATTTGTCAACAAGGCGAGGCTCTATGGGAAGTTGCAGAAGAGCAGTTTTCGTTGGTGGCAGAAAAGAGGTTCTGTCGAAGTGGCAGAATAAGAGCGCATTTTTTGCATATGGCTTCTAGAGATTTCTGTTCTCTTGTAGAAGCGGTCTTGGCAGAAACGAGAGTGTAAAACACCCTCGGCCGATTAGGCACCAGGGGCCATTCGCAGAAGGGTTGTCCTCTGCATAAGTATCGCACAAAAGACATTTCTGCGGGCGACCCTTTCGGCAGAAGCGTCTCTCGGAAATGGGTTCCAAATGGACCTCGGGCAGAGTGACGCAAGAACCTGTTCGCGCAGAATTGCGTTCTGCCGAAGTTCGGCAGAAAGGCAATTCGGCTATCGCTTCTGTTGTCAACCCCCTCGACAGAAACGAAATTCGGCAGAAGCGCGGCAGAGAGTCATCTCGGACTTCACTTCTGCGAGCGACCCTTCGACAGAAAAACGAAGACTTCAGTTTTTCTGATGAAGGTCCGTTCCGAAATCGCGAGAAATTCGCGATTTCGTAAGTTAACCACAGCACCGATCTGGACCAAAAACGGCAAAATCTACCTGCGACATTGAGAAATTGAACACGTGACGCAGATTTCGTAACTGCGGAAATGTGCGTAACATCTGACAGTTTCTGTAAGGAATTTTTCTATTCCTTACCGAGCAGTACTGCTACCGCGTATGCTCGAACACACCCGAAGCTTCGGGACTATTCCGGACCTTTCTGACAGAACCGCCTCGGCATCTCCAGACCTGCTAGTTCGACATTCGGGAGTTCTCCGGGCCTCGCTTCATCACTTCGAGACCCTTCGATCTCTTTCCCGAACCTCTCCATCGCATGCTTAGACTAGCTCTGCTGTTCCTATATCTTGGCTTGCCATTCCTTGTATCGTTATTTCCTGAGTGAACATTTCGTTATTCATTTCCGCGCTACTCTGCTTGTTCATTCATAACACCTGGCATTCAAAGCCACTTTCCTCGCTCACCCGTTTTCGTGAGTTGATTTTTTTTCGGGGGGGTAAGTCCCTCACGTAAGCTGCAAGGCGGTTGCTCGCGAATTAAACTGATTAATTCGCCCAACTACGATAGCGTTTGCGCTTACCTGAGTACAAGCACATTACGGATTTCCCCCTGCCCCGGCGGAGCATTCGCCAAATGGACCAAGCTCAGTTCGGAAGCAGTTCAACGCCATGAACATGCGCATGGCTACAGTACTGGAGGACAACGAGCGACTTCTTGCAGAAGTTGCCGAGTTACGCCAGGCGCGAGAGGATTCGCATCATAAAAATGCCGCCCAAAAAGAGGTCGCCAGCACCGGACGTGTCGAAACCGTCTTGGACGAAATCGCATGTGAGGTGTCACAGGACCGCAAGGACAGTGAAGCCGCCGCAGCAGCTGACGTAGCAGCATGAGCAGCAGCAGCAGCGACAGCAGCAGCCGCTCGGTAAGAAGCAGCCGCTACTATAGCCGCACCGGCGTTTATGCCGATCGTGACGACAACGACAATCAAACCGACAATGCCGCCCCCGTTCAACCCCACAGATAGGAATACTACTGTTACGGGCTGGTTATCTTCGGCGGAACTTTATTTTAATATCGCTAAGATCACGGCTGACGATTTAAAAATTCGGCTGGCTGTATCACTACTGCGAGGACCAACGCTAGACTGGTGGCAATACACACTACAGGAGGGGGAGTTTTCGGCAGGCGACACATGGGGGTTTTTCGGAAACTTTGGGTCTGGTGCCCAAGGGTCAACCGCGATTTTTGGATCAACCAAGATTTGCACGTGGAAGGCGTGGGGTACAGCTCTGCCTGAACGGTTCGAGCCAATATCCGCCTCGGACAACGCATGCACGAAGCTGGACAACTGGCGCCAGTGGAGTTCTGTCCAGGATTACGCGTCGATCTCCATGGCGTTATGCGATCAAATAACTGATATGCATGACTCCGTGAAGAAGGCTCGATTCATTTCGGGTTTGAAACAGGACATTAAATGCGAGGTCCGACTGCGACTTCTGGCGACGTTTCACGAAGCAGTCCGGATCGCAAACACTTTCGACGCACATCGGACGTATGCGAGAGCGGGTTCTCGGGAGGGAAATCGTTTTCGTGGCCAGAATCCACGGCCCACGATTCACGGCGTAGTGGCGAAGGAGCACATGGAAGATTTTCGTAAGGGTCAATGTTTGAACTGCCACTAGCCGGGTCACCAATCTCATGATTTCCCCCGAAAGAAGCAGATAAAGAAGAACGACGACGACAGGTCGGGAAACGCCAAGCGTCAGTAGCGGACGACCCCCATACTGACCCTGTCTCATCGCCCGAAAAACACCATCCCCACCGAGTAGTGGTTCCGATACATGCTATCAACCGCTCCCGACTGAATAACGGGGATGACCCAGTGGACCACCCGGTCCTGGCGGAGGGACGACTCAACGGACGGAAAAAAAAAAAAAAAAAAAAAAAAAAAAAAAAAAAAAAAACATCGACGGAGGTGCGAGTCACAGCCTGATAAATCGAGAGACATCACGACGACTACACCTGACGCTGGAGAGGTGTCTGCCCGAAATCGACGCGCGATTGGTGGATGGCACCCCCCCGGCGATACGCGACAAAGTACCTGTCGTTCGAATGAAATGTGGAAAAGATTTTGGTTTCAGCGCGCCGATGCTGGCGACAACGCTCGACGGCTACGACGTGCTATTGGGACGCGATTGGCTGCGACGATTCAACCCGCAGATCGATTGGACCACAGGCGAGTGCACAGTGAAGTGTGACAAAGGCTGGCAAAAATTACCCACGTGGCCGGAAGCGGAGACCACGTCGACACGAGTCAACGCGGTGTGCCTCACGCGAGCGGTCAAGAATGGAGCGGATTTATACGCCGTCAATCTAACCGGATCAACAGAGCAGAATGAGGCGACTGACATCAACAAACCCTGCGCTTCGGTCCCCAATGACTTGACGAAAATCATTCGAGAATATCCCGAGATTTTCCCAGACGACTTGCCAAGTGGACTGCCACCCGAACGACCCCAGGACCACAAAATCGAGCTGGAGCCCGGCGCGCAGCCTACTGTACGCACGCAATGGCGCCTGACTGAGCCAGAGCTACAGGAGTTACGAATACAGCTGGACTGCCTGCTGGCGAAAGGGTTCATTCGGCCAAGCACGTCACCGTTCGCAGTACCGATCCAGTTCACCCCAAAGAAGGACGACGGACGTAGCATGTGTACGCACTATCGTGCCCTTAATCGGGTAACGATAAAATCGCGCTACCCAATCCCGCGCACGGACGACCTAATCGACAACCTTCGCGGAGCTCGCTATTTTTCGAAGATCGACCTTCGCGGTGGTTACAATCAAATTCGGGTGTTCGCTTACGATTGCCACAAGACCGCGTTTCGAACTCGCTACGGGAGTTACGAATATATGGTGATGCCGTTTGGATTAACGAACGCCCCCTCGACGTTCCAACCCACCATGAACAGGGTGTTCCG